TTTCCACACTAATAAAATTCATCTGGTCAGAACAGCTTCCTGTTCTTAAAAAAATCAAAAGGGTTCAGCCAAAATTTCAAGAAAAAGATATTTCAAAAGTCAAAAAAAGGCATATTTTTTAAGCTCCCGTAACTATTACTCAACATTTTAGGTTACTCTTGTTCAGGTAGCACTAATTGAACGAAATGAGAGAGAACATTAAAAAGAGTAAGATTCAGTATACGATCCATCTAGTAGTTCCTCGCTTTCCTAACTCACACCTTAAAACACAGTTACACACTAAAGCTCCGAATTTGGTTCTAAGTGAAATCTTAATTCGTTTGAGTAACTCTAGCTAATCCATCCTCTTACCTGCCCAAAAGTTACAACTTTCTTTTTTATATGAAAATTTTCAAAACGACCAAAATGACAATTATTCCTTACAAGTTTTAGTTACGGCATCTGTACCAGCTAATTTAACAGTACAGCGGACGTTTGCTCAAATACTCTAAGAAACACTTCGGTTCCTGCTATGCCAAACAACATCGAAACTACGACTTAACAATGACAATTATGCACAATGCAAGTCATTCGTACCTTCCATATTTCAATTGAGGAACTTACACAGCGGAGCGTAGTTATAAAGACCACCCAGTTTGAAACCAGTTGGATGCTTTCCTATTGCCGAGTTTTTGCCTGACGCAATTTGAGAAGATAAAAACGCCAGCTGCCGTAGAAGTGGTGCAAACAGTGGAACTGCTGCAGTTCCAGGCGATTCGGCAAGACATCGTTCCAACTCGTTTGAAATCAGTAAATGCCCATCTAAAAAAATACTCCACTTTAACTGTCAATTCCTTTGTCATCCTTTCACTCTACAACTGACATGGTGAACATTGTTACTTCTCATTGTAGCCTCACAAATGAAGTAGGAATGTCTATAAAATGAGCTCTGCAGTAGGCTCAGCTTCTCTTCCTTAAACCTTTTCAAGCAGCTGTTCTGACCAAAAATAAACGTGACTATGGAACTGCTGCAAATAGCCGACAACTAAAGCAAAGCGAATGAAGTATTCCAAAAGTAAGCAGATGCCCGAAAATGCCGCAGACTACATCAAAAGATATAATTTTAAACCTAGTTAAAAAATAAGTACGAAAGCAGGTCAGCTGCTCATGAATAATAACCAAGTAGATTCAATTTATATATTTTTTTACATATATTTCATGAAGGATTAAAGCTCTTTTTGGTTTCTTTTCTATAGACAAAGTTTTCCTTCATCATTCAATTCACATTCGGTCTTAAAATTTCCTCCTATTTTGCTCAACTTATGAAAAGATAGCTAATTCTGAATCCTGAACTTCCAACTTCGCCTCCTTTACACCCTAAATAATGGAGTTATAGTGAGATATAATCTGTGTTCAAACAAAAACCAGTGCTAAATAAAGTTTAACAAAAGCGATTACTCAAACAAATGAACTCTCTTCCTGCTGATGGGTCAGATAAGATCCGGCTAATAGCAAAGGCCAATGGCTTCGAAAGTGTTGTAAAATGGCTGGTTGCAGAATTGGCAGGCTCAGATATCAAATGTATAATCTTATCAACAAGACATTTTACATTGCTACCAGCCTGCTGTGCAATCTCCATAATAATAGCGAAGACGAAATCTGCAGTTGAGACTCGGTACCAACTGAAACAAGAAACATCTTTCAAGCTGAATTGGCTCCAGTGATAGACACCAATAACTGACCTACTACTTTTACTATGTTGAATTAACCTGCTCCTTAATCTAAATTAATCTAAAATCTTTAACTTTGGTGCCATTTAAACTTTCTAAAAAAATGAAAAATGAAATAAAAACTATCAATATATCTTTCAATCCCTACTCGTCAAGACAAATCGAATCGAAATCATCTTCAGCAGAATGACATACTGAAAGGATTTGAAACAAGTCGAAAACCGCGCTCGAATGTTTGTTCAAAATGCCTTCTACCAAAACCTTATTATTGC